AGATATGAGGAAAGACAACACAAATGCGGAGTCATAAACATACACATGCAAGGACATGTGCAATTCTGAAGGCCGGACATTATCATATTCAAAACAATAACAACTCCTGGTGGATTAGTATTCCACTTGTTGATTTCAAAATGCAAAAATAGTACTCTGAGTTAGTGATGGAAACATTCTGATATGGAAAAAGAGCCAAGGACGATTGCTAAGTTTTGCCCTGTGAACACACAGACCAGCGGTGGCAGGACAGCAAGGATACGACCAGACTGACAATACGAGCGGTGGCCAGAGAGCGGCCTCAGGACTTGTTTTGACAGATCTGGCTCTTTGGTGTTTGACAGGTTTAAAGCTCTTTCTGGTTGGGGGAAATCCTTTATCTGGAGAGTGTGGGGTAGGCCCTGGAATAAGGATTGCTCCGTCTCCCTGCTTCCATAATGCCTGGCCGATGACAGTATGTCATGCACTCCTCACACTCCAACACTAAAGGGAAAAAAATAAAAACACCCACCCTCGCCGCACACACTCACACTCACAAGGTGCTGGTTGGCTGTGTTGTCATGGAAACTCCATCCTACAGCTGTCAAGTGTTCATCAGTTTCCACAGCAACACCATAAGGTAGAGAGCCTAGACAATTATTTCAGACATAATACAGTTGAAAGGGTCGAAGGGAGCTTTATTGGGTCAAATTACCCATTGCTGAGTTTTAGCAGAGGCAAAGCTTGCGACCATCTTAGTCAGAAAGCATGGGATTTGCTTGCTGATTTGACCAAATTAGGCAGATATAATACTCAAAGAGATGACGGATTAGGAAGGAGATAACAGCCAACAGGGAATTACTATAATCTCCCCAGCTCTGTAAAAAAAAACACCCAAAAATGAGGCTTTATAACGGTTTCATTTCAAGTTGGACTGAACAAGTTAACTAAGGTTCTCAGTGTATTTCCCAGATGTTTACATCTTTAAAATGCACATCAATTTGTTATGCTTATACTGATAATATAAAAACAACCAACCAAAACTATAGAAATTTAAGATATAAAAGTCACTGCTAAACAGTCACTTATTTCTATGTAAATTAAAGTAGTGCAGATATAGCATGTAAAATATATAAAAGTTATTCTAGATAGGAAGCAAGTGATCTGTTAACAGTTCACAGTTCAGCATCTGGCAAGGGGCTCATGAGTACACATAGCATGGGTAGCTTGCACATCTGTGAAGGCACAATTGATGCCAATTGTATACTGATGCTACACATGATGAACTGAAGGACAGCTGAGCCAAAAATTCTCATAATTTGAATTAAATACTCAACAAAAACACATTAAACATAAACAACACAACTGAATCAACAAACTAAAGCGGTACCACTTTTAACAATAGACAGTATGAGGTATGGATATAGCCACTGTGACATCAGCCACTACACGCTGCATTTTGAAGGTTCATTGTGAACCAGTCAAAGTTAGCTAATGTTAGCATTTAGCCACTGCTATGTTGATATTTTGGACCTAGGGGATTACCTCATATGGATGAAAGAGTGGAGTGTAAATATGTGTGTAAATGTACCCAAGCTAGCAAGCGTGGTTAACAACCTGCATTCATAAAGTTGCCTGTTAGCCTTTTTTCTTCACTTTAAAAAAAATTTTTTTTTAAATTCACTTTACTTAGAGAAATTGTCTTAAAAATAATACTCATGGCCCTTTGAAAAAAGAAAAAAGTTATACTGAGGAAACACTTTCTGGCTTTCTCATTGAACACTTGTGAGCTAGTTTTTTCAGGTTTTACTTCTTTTGCAGTGCCAGCTCCCCCATTACAATGTTGTGATGGTTTTCTTTCTCCACCTCGAGCTAAATGCATTTCCTTAGGTAAAACCGAGGAGTGGCAGAATGCAGACTGTTCATAACAGGCACAAGCTGGCTGAATTGAAATGATTCTGACTGACTAAGACTAAAACTGACGGCAATTTTCTGTGTGAAAATTCAATTTTCTTGCCCAATAGCTGGAACTGTCTTTTTTCAACAAGAAAATTCCAAACCACATTCTACATATATCACAAAACAATGGCTTCAATGTGACTGAGTCTGGGCAATGAAAAGAAAAATAAGACAAAGGAAGCCCTGAATTTTTGACTGGATGAAATCCTACATACAGAAAGAATGAAACCCCCCCGCCCCCCCATTCCAAAAACCGAAGGGTTATTAAAGGAAGAGGTGATGCAAGACGGTGGAAATTACTGTTGTAAGTCAGTGTCAGTGCACCAAAATGTGCAACTGGTAAAGTGTTTGTGACATCAAACAATGAATTATTGTATATTATGCACCACACCGGTCACAGAATTCAGCATTACATTACTTGTCTTACTTAGCCTGTTATATATTAATAAAGACTAAACACATACTGTATGTGTGCTTAGTGAGCACCAATTGTGGCCTTCCATGTTTACCTTAATGTTGTACTTCTGCTCCTCTGTTGCAATAACATGCCTAAAATTCTGTGTTTGACGATGCTATGCTGCTGGTATATTGAGCCATACCTATGGTTTGTTTACTTCTCATTTCTCTTTCAGCAAACCAAACTGCGTCCCTACAAACTACATGAGAATGTTCAGTTTGGTCATTGGGCAGATGTATCAGGGCTGGGAGCAACAGACGCAAATAAACGATGGTTCAGATCGGGGCCTGATCACGTTCACACCATAAAAGAACCGCTCAGGAGTTCATTTGGAAATGGACCAAGACCACCTCCTCCAAAGGCTCTCGGTGCTCATCTCTTTCTCTCTCTCTCTCTCTGTGTGTGTGAGAGTATTTATATATCTTTTTAAAGAGGAAAGCCAAAACGGTAGCACAGAAACAGAAGTCATTCCTTTCAGAAGTTAAGTGAGGGTTTCACTGACCTGCCTCCATCCCTGCAGCTAGAGGATACAGCACAGCAGGTGTTCCACTTTGTGACCTGAACCATGCATTTTATTTTGAGTCTTGGAGGAACAGGTTTCACAGCTATGGTTCTGTGGTGGCTTGTATAGAACTAAAAAGTTTTTTTTTTATAAAAATCAATAGATGCCAAATGAAAGGAACAAATAGGAAAAGCAAGACTGTGGGCCTGCTTCTTCTGCCAACAAAAAACGATGAATAAAACCCAGAAGAAGCCTCATCTAATGAAACATTAAAGGTGAAATGTTAACAATGAGGTATTGCAAATTTACCTACGTAGATATATGAACAGCCAGCAGACAGACTCTACCTTTCCCAAGTATGAATTTTCACAGACAAGACGTGAAAACGTACATTTGCAGTTTTGAAGAATAAGGCCCTGGATAAGACCCAAATATAATCTCTCTAGGTTTAGAGGTTACTATGCTAATCACATTTTTGACATGTTGAGTCATACTGAGCTGAGCCGTGTGTTTGAAAAGAGGATAATACCAACAGAAAACAGAAATATTCATATGACTTTCTGTAATAGTTATGCCTAAATGCTGCTTTGAAAAACCCTCCACACTTACAGACTTTTTTTTTCTCGAAGACGACGTTCTAAAGAATATCAGATTCATCTAAAGCTCAAAATCTATACTTTGCCTATACCTCTAAGATGGTAATTTCACAAAAACAATACAGTAACATTACTTTAGTGTCCTCAGTGGTAGTTGCAGCGTAAAATCAGCATCCACTTTAAGCAACACTTTAAGCGAGGTTGCTTCAGCTCTGCAGCAAATGCTATTACCTATCCCTCCACTTTATTCAACGTAGAATAAACAGGAAAAAAAAAATCAAATCAAGTATTTTGTATCACTTTTAAAACCGCAGCTATATCTCTGGAGTCATCTCCAAGCAGAAAAATACATTTGGGATCAGTCAGATGGCTCACCAATGCCATTGTTTAATAAATATTTTTTAAAAACTCAAATAAAGAGCACTAAAGTTTTGTGCTTTACAGCATATATGTGGCAGTGGCACAACCAGAGAGCTGTCAAGCAAGCAAGGGTTATGACATGATGACACGTCTTTGTCTTACAGCGTAACAGACTGAGCCTGTTTCGGTTGCGTTCGTCCATTTCAGCCTTGTGACTGAAAGTTCACGAGGAAGAGAAATGAACTGGAAAATTCTGACAGCTGCTTCTCCAAAAGTCAGAAAACCAACGCTGCAGAGATGGAAGCAGGTGAGGCATATCTGTGTTTCGGCCATCGGTGCATCACAGTGTGATTCAAATCAAAGCTACAAGCGAGCCGGAGTCGGCAGAGATGAACGCAGCATGGTGTGGCAAAAATAATGTCAATCAGTGTGACAGCCGCACCATAACCTACAGCTCCTCGCTGACACTCACCCCTATCAGCCACTTACCGTATAAATAATTCATTACCAAATGAGGACATTACCACAGGATGCTGTATGACACTCTACATGACTGCTCTTGAGGACCACTGATTTTATTGTGTGTACTCCACTTAGGAGAAAGGTGCACTGAATTTAAAGCAGTTACAGCTACTGAGTGGGTGTTGTGGCTCTGTTCCTGCATATACAGTAGCCTTAGCTGTCAATGTTTTTGTTATACAAAGATTCGTCTGTCAATCTCAATGTTACACCTTGTTACTTAAAACCAAGCAAAATAAGGTGTGAAAGAACAGTGTGCACCAGGTTGGACCTTTTGAAACATGTTATCTAATACGTTAACTGCTCAGTGAATCTGCAGTAATAAATAAAAACTCCCCAAAAAATTGCAGAAATGAGCAATATGCAGCTCCTCAAATATGCTCAACACATATGGATTTTATTTCTATAACTAATTTGTATGTATAAGGCAGAGCCTGGTGATGGGCCTTTTATATATCGACTGTGATCAACAGCCAAACATTTCATCTTTTACTTGTGGTAAGAAAAAAAAAAAAGCACGTTTGCTTTACAAATTATAAAAGCACATATGCAAAAAAAACCACAAGATCAATGCTGCCACTGCAAGTGATGAGCTATTAGCAGAAGGTTATTTATAAAGGGTGACTACCTGGATCAGTGGCTGACATAATGGCACCAAAAAGGAGGCAGTGAGTGAGGAAGAATTCTTCTTTTTGTTCGCTCAACAGTACCATCAGTTTGGTGAAGCCGTACATGCAAGCCCTGGGATTGAGGACAAACAGACAGAAGGAAACACTGTGAGGTCATCAGGGAGCGCCAGCCAGAGCAGGTCTATCAGTCATCCCACAGCAGGGCTTCCCTGGATGGGTAATGGGGCAGACGCCTACAGCAGGTGTTGACCCGTTTCCAGGCCGCTTTTTACACAAGCGAACACACAAAGCTGCGACTGTGCTGGGAATTTTATTATTTTATCCATGTTAATGCGAATGAGTGTGAATATCCATATGCTCCGAACTCGACCCCACATCCACCTACTAAATGGAACCACCCACGCACGCACACACACCACAAACCATCTTGGGGGTCAGTATCCATCTATCCTAACTGTTTGCATTCTTTTAAGACACTGTTATATACGGTACTCTCCAACATAACAGAACAGCATAAGTGTGTATGTGTGTGTGCATGCACAATGACCTAGAAGACTAAATATAACCCACTAACAGTCTTTGTGAAGGGCACTTTGACAGAAATATAAATGACACAATATTTTTATCAGCTCTGGAGCCAAATACAAAAATAAATCTAGTATTGTATCTCCACTGAGTTATCTCACTTATAAAGATATAAATAAAACTGTACACAAAGACTTGATAAAGCGTCCAGTCAGTTCAGCTCCTTAGTGATAACTGATGTATGCTGAGTACTAATCCAGTTAGTGTGGGGCATGCCATAATAATCAGTATGCCAGTGTGTCCTCTGGGGAACCTTTCTGTCCACTGGCATAGCTCTGTCGGTGACAGCACATGACCTGCCCCCTGCAGCCAGTATTTAAAGCACTGTCCTTAGGTCAAGCAACTAAGCTGTGTTATTCGTGTATCTTTAAGGAAGACTTGCGGTTAAGATGATTAATTGTGCATTGTGCGTTTGTGTGTGTGTGTGTTAGACATCCAGAGAGAGACAGAGAGAAAATGAGAGAGTCAGGCACAGAAAAAGACAGGAAGAGGACTGTAAATTGAGACAGAAAGATTCCCACACTCTCACGACACTAACTCCCTATGGGATATGACACACTAACAAGCAGCAGGACTGGCCAGCTCTGATGCCTTAGCATTAAAAATGGAGCACATGAGGCGCCATGAACAAAACCTTTCCTGCTTCCCAGAGGGAACGGGGAAGTTTGACAAATGCTGCTCCAGGTAAAGGAATAATAGATGGAGCAAGGAAGGAAGGCAACATCCTTTAGCCAGTTAATTCCAGGCAATACTTTAAGCACATGACCTTCAAACCCACTTGTTTGAAATGACTGACTGGGGGAGTTAAGATCATTTATACATAAACAGAAAACACAATAAGTAAAAATGACAACTAGTAGAAGCTTTAAAAGCCTATTAAGGAAATGTTAGATGAAATAATGCTGTGGGTTTTGTTTTGTTTTTTTGTCTGTTTGTTTTTTTTTGGGGGGGGGTGTAAATCCTGGACTGTTCAGTTTCTTCTAACCACAAAACGTGTTGAAGTTAAAGCAAGAAAATAACAACTAAGGAATTCTGAGGTTTTCTCACTTGCTCTGTGCAGCAATTAGAGCATCAGTGACAACTGGTTTAGAAAAAGCCTCAAATTCCTTCAGAGTGTGAGAGTGCCATCTAGCTATGTCAGGCTACAATAGCATCAGTAGATATCTGTACTCTCTCCAAAATCAATATTACTTGTGCTGAGTTTGGTGCACTGTAGTGTTATTACAGAAATTTTGATTAGTCGTAGAACCAAAAGCACAGGTGTAAGCACAGGATTTGGCTTATGGGGGCATTTACAGAACACTATTTCATATTACTGGTGACATGTGTTAGATAATGTCCATCAACGTATCCAAATCAGGGTCACGGAGGCATCTGGAGTCTATCCTAGCTGTCACAGGCAAGAGGTTGGGTACACCCTGGAAAGGTCACCAACCTGTCAAAGGGCTAACACACATGACAGACAACCATTCCCACTCACATTCACACCTACAGTCAATTCATAATCACCAGTTAACCTAACCTCAAGCTCATGCATTCTTTTGGGCTGTGGGAAGAGGCCAGAGTACCCAGAGAGAACCAATGTAGAGATGACTTGCAAAATCCATACAGAAAGCCCACATGCTAGATTCAAACCCAGGACCTTCTTGTTGTGAGTCAGTGCTAACCACTGCACCATAAAGCTATGCCTGAATTGTTTAACCGCATTTGTCTGTCATCTCAGTATTTCTTTTACTTCAGTTTATTTGCATAAATAAACAAAGAATTCTTACCCTATGCACATGCAGCTGATTATGGTACCTGCAAAAGCGTAGGTGAGAACAGATCCCAGGTTTGCAAGGAATCGTTTCTAGAACAACAAATAAAAATTAGTCCAATTAGTAACACTCACAAAACAAACAAGACAACAGTTTAGTAGACATTAAATACATCTGGTGTAAGAATCAGTACAGTGCACCATATGGGAAGTCCTTAACAGATGGACAACCCATGTACATTAAAAGAAATGGCCTTTTACACCCTTTTGGGAGACGTGTCAGGAGAGCAGTCTCACCTGATTAAGAGTGTAAGCTCCATGGAAGATGATGGGTGGCAGGAACAGATTGAAAAGGACCTGCAGATCAAAGGTCTCCTGTAAATGACAGAGCTGCTGTGTTGGTGACTGACAATGTTTCACGGGGAGCAAGAGAGTCTGACTGACAGACAGATTACATACACAAACACACACACAGTTCATTTCAGCAGCCCTGTTTTGGCAAACATGCACCTTTTCTCAATTGTGTTCAAGTGCCTGATATCTCCTTTCTTCAAAAAACAAAACAAAAACACAAAATCAAATTTTGTAAATAACAAAAGTGGGATATGTGCTACGTGCATAGGCGTGCCTTAAACCTGCATTCTATCTGAAGGCCGCCAGATGGCGATAGTTTTGCGGCCTTATAGAATTCTACTGGAAAAACACATTCCTGTTGAGATAGCGGGCTCACTCACTCACTTTGGGTCATATCAAATTAGCCTATTGTGGTCATACTGTGCTTCAAAATGGATCTTATCTGAGCAGTAAGACCTGCTCCTTCTCGTCACATGTGTGTTTTTAAAGCCAGGATTATGATCGTAGAAACGGTCATATCAAGCCTTCAAAACAAGTCTGCACAAACTATTACTATCCATCTTTTATACATGTACATTTTCCACACCTGGAAGCAAAGGTTACCAATGAGTAACCCCACCCCTGGGTTCCTCAGTGCAACACTGGAAATGTTGCATAGTGATAAATAATACAAATAAATAATGTTATAATAGACTTTTTTCTAGTTATAGATGAAAATATTAACATTTTAACTTTATGATTTGGTTTGCTGCCCACTATTCCCTCAGTCCTGGTTTTTGTGAAAGTGAACTTAAATCAAAGTATGAGTGAAATACAGTGATTTGCTTTTAATGACCAAAAAGCCTGTGCTGCATGTTGTTAGTTTAGTCTTTATTGTGGCATTAATATTTATACAAGCCAGCTAATGCTGAAGTTTTATATCAGTTTCCAAGCTGTTTAGTAATTATTTCTGATTGTTTCCTATGGCTCACCCTCACTGGCTCATGGTCTACCCCGTGTCACCCCGTTTTAGAAAATCATGGAAACACCCGTGTTCATTCTTATGTACCACCTTTTTTTTCTTTTAACTGCTTCCACCTCATGATATATAGCAAAAGCAGGCTCCCACCTATCTAGATCTGTGTGCTCAAAAACATTTTAGTAATAAAATGCTACGAAATCTTCTCAACAACAATCTGAACTTTCAATCTGGCAGCTACAGTGCGGTTACATCACTTCAGATCTCTCAGTGGCTCGATGATATAATCACTGTGTACTGCCCAAGTCTTCTGACTCACACTGATTAAAGCAAGGCATAACAAGAAAAGAGAGGTCTAACTGCTTCTGTCAATCTTCATCATAGCAGCTCCCAGAATTTATGGTAACCCAGTGCTACATCCACACAGAAAACAAGTAAATGTCATTAAAACACGATCTTAAAAAAACCCAACTGCATTACTGTCAATACAAATAAAAACCAGCGCCCACAAGTATTTTTGTACATAGCGTGCTCTCTCGCTGTCTGTTTCTCACCCAAGCCGATGTGATGCAATGCAAGCAGCTAAGCAAGGTAGCCTTTCATGTTCTTCATCCTTGAATCCTTTTTAAGTCTATTGTGGATACATTTTGAAGATCAAAAGGCAGCGATATTCAATTCAGATCAAAATAAAACTACTTTTTCTTGGTTCCTACATTGCACAGGGTCTTACATTGCTCAGAACCTTACTCGAGTTCAATTACATTTCAGGCCAAAGGAGTGAGACGGGGGAAGTGACGCTTGCTGACATACTGCTGTGGTCACAGGCATTTAAGAACGACCTAGATTTGGCTTGCTTTAACGAAGCTTTATGGAAAAAAACAACAACACAGAAGCATGACTATTTAGATGAATGAAAGTAGGCCTCTCTCTGTAAATCCTATTTCCAGGATGCACTGCATTTTGGTGAATATTTACCCAAGTACAGGTTGGGGACATTTGGAAGATTGCATTTTTGTTTTTAAATTAATATTTCGAATGCTGTAGAGTCCCCTATAGAGTAAGGAAAGCCAATATGCTTTCTCAGTAATTCACACTTGAGGTGCTTCTAGAGCTACAAATTGCTCCTTTCTTTGCTACCATAACCCAGCTCAATACAAATTACTATTTTGTGGTTGCAATTACCCACACAGCACTATATATATGTTTTTTCCCCATTTATGCAGGCTGTGTATGACAAATACAAAACTGTGCAACACACACTAATACAGATACACTGTAATCAATAAATTATGCATATGCTGGGGGTTTTATACAAAGGGCCACCTGCACCACAGACTTGAGAATGGAGGTGTGTTGTATGCACTAATTGCCTCTTCAGCTGAGCAGCACTAAATTTAATCAGACCACAAACTTTAATGCCTTACTCCCCAGTGGCACGTAATGGACTCAGTAATGCAATGAAATCCTTATCTCTCCCTGCTAGGACCCCATATGTATCAGGCTTAATGGCGTGAAGGCAACACAGAACAGGTCTGACCAATGTAATGGCCTTTGTGGTAGCCTCTGCTGGTTTGCTAATGAGACCCCCGCATTCAAAAGGGGCCAAAAAGTCCAAGCCATTAGCGAAGAGTTACACTCGACCGGGATGATTCGCAACGTTCAAGCCTCACTGCTGCCTTTCTCTTGCGGTGAAATGTGGCACCGAGATTAAGAAACACAATTTAGAACGCCCTCGTTCCGCGTTCTCTTAAGCTCGTTGGTGCATGTGTGGCTGAAGCTCCGGTTTATCGTTTGGCTTCTTTGATATGACAAATCTCTGATCACGGCACTAAAATATGAAAGCGTGGCGGAAAAAAACAGTGTTCATGCTGATGACAGCCAAAGGTCCGCTCTTGAGGCTTAGGCTTTTCTGCTTAGAAGTGATGTTAGAGTCTCTGCTAATTCCTTTTTAACAAATAACTGCTGTGATTAGTTTGCAGGCTTGGGGCTTAAGGTTGCAGCATTACTCCTGTTGCACCTCAGTGACAGAAATAACATGTATTTATGGTACTTGAATAATCCGAATCATTGTCTGTAGGAGCTCAAACCAGATTTCGGATTTCACAAACATCAAACTGGCTCCCAATTAAATGATTTTTAATCATACCATACCCCTATTTGGGTCTTTTTGTTATCATCAGCAGCAAATCCTTGTGTTTTGGTGTATTATTTACTTTATCATAGCCCCTCATTCTTGCATCATTACTGTGTTCTCTGACACAGATTGAAGTGTCCAACTTATTCTAAGAGGAAAATGCTGCAATGCCTGTTGAGATGCTATCTTACATCTTTCCTGCACTGCAGAGAAAACTGCTTGCAAGAGTATCTCATTATAAGCTTGCTGCATGTAAACAAGCAGGGAAATGTCTTGAGAGCGCAATTTTGCGAGAAAGCGCTACAGTTGCTAGCAAAAGCTTAATTTAGTTGTTTTGTTGTTTAGTGATTAAACCCGTGTTGTGTTGCTTCATTTTACTTGACTGGAACTGTGTCCATATGTGGTCCCTTAAATTTAATTTCCCTCTGTATGCACGGCACACCTGAAAATGTAATCCCCACTATCTGATCCTGACTAAAACCTTAATAAAGGTTAAATTGCTCTCTCGTCCTCCCTTTCCTTGCACCACCACTCTTGACTTTTTCTAAGAACAAACAGACCATGAGAGTTTAAAGGAAAACCAATAACTAAGAACCATTAGAGGACTCTGTTGATATAAATAGCCAGCATACTCAAGAGGCACAATATGGATCTGATCCAGGAAAAGACAATGAAAACAAAAGCTATTTCAGTCAAAAGAAATTACATCAGAGGAAAAACCATCCTGTATGCAGCTATTTGCTTTCAGATATTCTTAATGGGGTTTTTATTATGTAGTTTATTTTTGTTTTCTTGAGAAAATGTTTATTTTAGGGCAGATCGCTGGATTTATTCTGTTTTGATGTGTTTTGTCAGGGAAGGTGAAATCAAACAACCACAGTTACCTCAGGATGTGAGCTGAACTGGCCTTTTTCATTTCCGACATGTCCGTGTGGTGTGATGTTGACCATCGTGATGTTAGAAGTGTTCGCTTGCTCATTTGCTGCTGTTGTGTTCCCCGGACACTGCTCTCCTTTATCAGTCCATATTAATCTCACAGTTAACCCCAGAAGCAAACCTGCAAAAGAATTACAAACAGCAAAAACTGTTATTAAAGGGGTAATTCACTATATTACACTAAAAACAACAACTTTGGGTTCTGGAAAAGAATGAAAGTGCAATGTGCCACATGTTGACATAAATGTGCACATTTTAAAACTATTTCCATGCATCAAGTATAGGACAACTGATTGCTTGTTACACCTGCATATCAGGAGTCACCTAAAGATGCTGTGTTCTCGTATAAAATGATGAATAAAGCAAAATGAGATGCCGGTGTCCAAAACTGCATGCCTCTGAAACCCCAGAAATGTCTTCTATAAACATTTTCGATACATCTTTCAAGCCCCGAGTCCAGGAAGTATTGCTGAATAACGGCTTCCGTAGTCTGTAAATATTTAGGCTACTTACCATAAAACATTGCAACCCCAGCTTCATTTACCAATTTATATTTGAACTGCTTTAACTTCCACACACTGAGGATGGTTATGAGTGCCAGGGTGACAGCAGCGAACACCGGTAACGCTACAGTATCTTGTTTTTGCTGCACAGCGGCCGACATCATCAAAAGCCTGGGTCAAACTTTTCGGAAAGAACTCTGCTACTTTTTTGGCTCAGACACAGCAACATCCGCATCAGCAGCGCCCTGAGAGCCCGTGCTGCCTTCAGTAATACTTGGAATTTGCAGTTTTTTCGTGCGAAGGCTTGGAGGGGGGAAAAGCACCATATTTTTAATTAAAAAAAGAAAGATAAGATAATGTAGGGCAATAAAAATGTGTTGGTATGCTTTTTGGGTTTGTTTGTTTTTTTAATAAATGACGAAATACAGAGCTTCTTTATGCTTCGTCATTAATGCAACACAAATGTAGGCCGATGAAATCAGATACAATCAAAGAAAAGTTAAGCACACGCAAGAACTGGACATTCAGAGAGAGATATATTAAATCCTTTATCGCGTGGGAAAAGAATACGTGTCACAGTTACTTACCTGTTCTGCTGACATTATGTTTTTGCAAAGCAATAAAAAATATTGACGGTGTTTTCGTAAGCCACAGAAAATAACACACGTTGGGTGTCATCCTCCTATTTTCCAGCAGATGGCAGACAATACAAACATATGAAAGCGTGATTCTCAGCTGCTGCGATATTTGATCGTACTGTTTATCGTTCTTTATCAGTAAGTGAATCATTCATAGTCAGAAATTAACAGAGAATAAAATAAAATTAAGTGGTTTATGAATTAGTCTTTATTTTAGGCCACATTGACTGAGCACGACATCTTTTACTTGCAGTGTATTGTCTTTATTTTATTTTATTGTGCTCTTGTTGACTGAAAAAAATGAAAAAAGTATATCAATTAGACCTTGTATGAGTTTACTTTAACTATGCAGCCGTTTATATTAGCAGTATGGTTTTTTTACTTACCACCTCTAGCATCTTTCTTTCCTTCTCACATTAAACTAAACGGTACAACAATCTAAAATGAACATTAATTTCAGGTAATGTTACAAATTCTTTAAAAGGCTGGTGTTAGCCTAATTGGAGCGACATGAAAGGAAAAAAAATAGAAATTCTGGTAAAGTTTGCACTGGGGGCGGCATTCCAGACAAGACAATATTAGAATAATCGCTTAGCAACCGTGCCCGTAAACAGAGAACGGTTGTCGTAAAGAGTAAAGAGGCTGGTGTTGAAAAGAGTCGAAACAGAACCCATTGTGGTGTTGGAGAGGAGTGAGCAGCTGCCTGAGAGAACAAGAAAAGAGGCAATACCGTGACCGCGGACGGGACTCGCAACACGCGGACAGATATGGACGTTAATTCACCGCACGGACGCTGTTGTCCTTTGTAAAGAGGAGTCCGTCGTCCAGTCGGAAACATCCGGTAAACGAAGAGTTAAGGACTCGACAGCTCAACTGTTTATTTCAGCGGCTAGCAGGCTAGCTGGCTAGATACCTAAGAGCTAGAAATGGGAAGCCCGTTTGAGTGTGCTTGATAGAGATCTTCGTCGAGCTTTGAAGAAGCAGCTTTCGGCTGAGATACAATCGCCGGTGTTTTAAAGTCCCCTCTCGTCCGCCTCGTAAGTAGCCGCAACTTTGAAGAATGATATCAGCTGAGCGCTAACCATTTCACTACTACAAAGCCGGAGAGGGGGGAAAAGTCACAGGTTTGTTTCACAGTTGTTTCTTCTCTTTGCAGTCCGTGCTGCCTTTGAACTCCTTTTTCTTTTTTGTTTTGTTTTTTATTTAAAGCGAGAGGAGGTAAATTGTGCATTGCAGAAGTCGCTCACACGTCTATTTTTGAGCAGTTCGATAAAGAAAAAAAAAAAATCCATAAAAGCAATAAAAACTCAATGTTTTGATTTTTTTTTATATCAGTAAGAGGATGCATAACAGTTCGAGTGTCCGTCGTGTGACCTTAGATCAAGCAAAGATAATTAAAGCAAAAAACGACAACAAACCTCATCGCTTTTTAAAAACAAACTCTTATCAGATGCCCACATCCACTGTGCGGTGACAAGAAGCATATTATTACCGCTATTACTGCTGGTGGTGTCATTTTAGTTGCAGCGGAACAGTCTAAGCATAGGTGGTTAGTATGTTTCCCTCTAATTACACGCTGTTTTTAATCTTTTCGTTATTTGCCTTGCATTAGAGACTATAGCAAGACTCCTATGCACAATTTGATGTTGAATCAAAAAAGGGGGAAAAAGCATAATGGGGGGAAAATGGATGAGAATGGATACACTGCAGAGTGAAGACAATGTGCTGCCCCTGAACTCTATTTGTATGCAGATCATACTAAATTACAGCAACAACGCTGGTGTCCAGGAGGTATCATGTTTGCCGGAGGCGCTATTAAGGTTTTAGTATTTATTTAACAAAACATTGCTCCCCCCCGATTCTCACCCCTTAATTTCCCACTGTAGTTTCAAGCTATTTAAAACACTTCATCTCAACAGGTTTGCTTTGGATTCGCCTTCCTTTTGGCAAAAACACAACAGGTTGAGCCTGTTTCTTTTTCTCCATCAAGCCTAAAAGCACCTAAAATATAAGCTTAACTTTGAGAGGATTTAAAAAACGAATGAATAGATCTGACCATGAGATTTCTGTGGCATAGTAATAATTGCACTTTCTTTGAAAACTGCTGCCCTTGATTTCTTCAAAGGAAAAAAAAAAAAGATTAGCACAAGAGTTTTAGTGTTTGGTTCCACACAAAGCTCATAATAAGTCCTATGGAATTTCTCTTTACAGTCTAATGAATAGGACGGGCTGCTTAAAATTAATTTTTCTATATTGGGAGACTAATTGCGGAGGCTTTCTGCTAGGTTAGTTGACGAGGGAACTATGAAAATAGCCTGATACACTTAAGGCGTTCTGCTGGTGGTTGATTTGAATGTTTCTGAGTGCTCGGCAGGGGAACGTCTCATAATTGCAGCCTAAAAGCTCCCACAGCAGCAGTATATTTTTGTTTTTGACCTCCAGACATGCCAAATCAGTCTCAGATAAAGTAACTTGTAGAGCAGACGGAGAAACAGACAAAGGTGGGAGAACGAATGTCTTTAAGGTAATCGATTTCATTTCCTCCCCATCCAAATGCATTTCCCGATTGTTTAAACTGCAGCTCGCTTTGACAGCTTGTTTTAATCATTTCACTCGGCTGACATGTTTGCCTTGCAGTAGCATTAACATGGGATTCAGATTCATGCCAACTCCCCAAACTTTTCCAGAGAGATCGTGGGTTGTGCAACCGTGCAGCTGTTTAAATTAAACAGAAAAGGGAGAAGCTGTTTTCAGTTGGGGAATCCAGAGTAGGTCTTCGCAGTGTGTTCTTAACAACTGCGTCATTTTGGCGCAAAGCAGATACTATTGATATTCTCATTAAAACCCCTCTCGTGTTTGGTTTGGGCCAGAGATGAATGGACTAATGTTCATTGTGGGGATGCTGCTAATTGGTACTTATAATCCGAGGACTCAATTTTCCATTAGGCGTGCGAATGTTACTGTCATTTGTATCTATCCATCACTGTCTATGTGTTTGCTGTACTGAGGCAACCCGGCTGCGGCTGAATGTTTTTGTGATCAAACATTATTGACTCCCACGGTCGATAATCCTGGCAACAGTAGTTCCTCTCTCCAGCTAGAGCCACACATTGCAAAGCAAGTGAGGTGGCGGTGGTGGCGGCAGCGGTGGTGGTGAGGGGCAGAGGTTACTTTTTTTCTCCCCTCCAGCTTTGAGGATTCGGGGGTAATGCCAGCGGTCCTGCAGGTAGCTGCTCTCGCGTGTGTGTTTGTGTGCATCCATTCAGAGATGGAGAAGTGCTGCTCTGTATTCAAGTGATCTATTTCCAGTCATTTCAATCACAAGAGCAATAACTCAAAGCTTCTCTTTTCTTGCTGGCCGCTAGTTATACATCAGTTATCTTTTTTTTTTCTCTCTCTCTCTCTCTATTTTACCAACTTCTCCATTGTATTTCAGTCCTTTTCCCCACTTCCCACCATGCACTCTCTTTTGCATTTCCATTGGAATTAATCAAGCATGTTCTTGTGTGGCTTGACTTCATTATATCATAATGAAGTTTAGCCTCAGGTGCAGTCAAGAAAAGGGTTAGCTGGAGAGTAGCCTTGCCCTTGCACACCATTATCTGAAGCTGGTTCTTACACAATGAGCTTTAGGAAAGATTATTCAAGAAAGAAATTTCCTTTTCAATCCCCTCCTCTTTATCTGAGTTTTTCTTTTAAAATCTAAGTTTAATAAAAGTTGAAATATTAGAATATTACCATGTCATCTTCCTCTGTCTCAACCTTTGTCATTCTGTTTTAAGCCAACATGGGGCCTATTGCTTCATCTTGTGCCTTTTCAGTCCCAGTAATGAGCCATTTTGCGGCTCTTAACATCTGCCAAACTTGGAACATTTTGAATGCGGGACTCATCTTCCATGCATGAGGAGTCAGGCATCCTTTGATTTGCCCTCTTTTCTTTGCTTCTCTTTCGAAGCGCTCACCGCTATACTTTGTAGACTGAGTACGCTGAAAAACTTTCTTAGCCCACTTTTGGCAGCGGCCCTGTATCATGAGAAGTAATTTGGTGCTTATTCTAAACAGAGTTTTTTCCCCTCCTCTTGGTATTCTACATCCCTCCCATCTTTTGAAGAGGCACTGTGACGGTTGTCTGGTAGGAAAGGGGGGGGGGGGGGTAATTTTAAACTGTTTTCTGTGGGCACAGTGAGGTTTGCCCCAAAGAAAACACTGCTTTAAATTTCAATGCCCTTCAATAAAAACATCTGGCTTTAATTTAGAACTTTAAGTGAACTTTGCCCTCAGCAAGAACCTGAGTAGGCAACCTTGCCATGGAGCCCTATGCAGTCTGCCTTTCTCTCTCACCACGTTCTCTTAAATAACTCCCATCATACCGCAATAGTCAGTGAGGGGAGTTAAATAAATGGTTTTGCAGGTGTAAAATTCACGAGGAAGCAGTCTAGTGGGGTAATTACCAGGGAAAGAGATCCCCGTCTTAAATTGCCATGTCATTCTCCCAATAAAGCTGAATGTTTTCATCTTATTCCCACTATTACTGTGCTTGTAGCAG